TGCAAATAAAGACACTGAGATCATTTTGTTTATTTTATCTACATATTTAAAAACAGGATTTCTGAGGCTTTTTCCAAAATAAATACAAGTACCAATAAACACATGAAAAGTTGCTCAACCTCACAGAAATAGAAATGCAATAAAAATACACATTACATTGGACTTAGGTGGACATCACTGTTTGTTATGTTCATTAACTATATTTCTTGGAGTTGACAGGGTGCATAGAAGCAGGTCCTCTCAACACTGTTGGTGAGACTAACTGGAAAAGTTTATTCAAATCCATTAAGCACCAACAAAATCTTTACACCCTTCAACCCAGCAATTCCACTTCTTAGATTGACTCATACGCAATCAGAGTCATGTAAAAGATTTACATAAAAACTTACATAAAACAATTTCTGCTGTAGCATTATTTATAAAAGCGATAATGTATTTTAAAACTTGAATGTATACATATATGGAAATAATTAAGTTGTGCTATGGCCATATGATGCAAGAATACAAAATTATTTTAAAAAACATGTTCTGAATAATTAAATCATTTCTATGACGAAAAAATGCTCAGCATATATTACTAAATTAAATACATATGATAATTCCAATTTATTATAAATACATGTATATACACAGACACAGTAGAAGAAAATACTCAAAATACTCCAGCATAATAATAGTGACTACCTGGTGATTACAAATAAACTTCCACTTCCTCTTTTATACATTTCTATATTTTCTCAATTTTCTACAATGCACATTGTAATTTTTTTAGAATTATTTATTTAATTTCATTTATTATTACTATTTTTTAATTTGCTATAGGGCACGTGTACTTGCCAGAGAGAGACAGGGAGACAGATTGAGAGGGAAAGTGAGAAAGCAAGATGCCAGATTTGGGACAGGAACCACGGTCGGCCACGTGAGAGTACAGAACCTTAACAACCATGCCACCTGCTGGCCCCAGCATACTGTAATTTTTATAATTTGAAATAAAGAAATACTCCAGCTATTATATTCTAATGATTTTTTCAGTACTAAAATATCCTTTTTGATTTCAAAATACCTCTATTATCTTAAGGATGTCTTTGTAGATCCAAAATGGGGATTCTGGCTCTAGTTCTTACATAATGTTGCCACTATTTTCTATATTGCTATTTTTAAAAGAGAAGGGCAGCACAGCATAATGGATCCATATTGTAAGCCAACGTGATTACTGGTACTTATGTCAGACCAAGAAAAAATGTTAAATTACACCCTTGCAAAGTAAGAAATGCAGAGAAAATTCATAATATTGGTATTGACTGTGCTTTGAATTTGACACAACTAGAGAACAGAGGCTCTTTGTTTCCTGAAGCTAGCCACTCTAAACCATTAGGAAGTTAATTCTGATCTTTCCCATCAGTTATCAGTTGAAAGGTAACCCTAAATTTCATTATCTAAAAAAGAAAAAACTTGAGACCTTTTTGAAAATGTTCTTCCTACCTTGACATAAAATGATTTTATTTATAAATTTCTTAAACAATATCCTAATATAAATTCACTTGCTGACTGAATGAAGGGAAATTACTCACAGAGGGTAGCATATGTTTAAAGATTATTGCTTGAAACACAGAAAGTATGTTAAATGATTATCTTGGGATGTTGCAATTGAGAAGTCATTCTGGTTAATTAAACAATTTTGTAGGGCCAGCCCAGTGACCTAATGGGAACTAGACCCCACATGGCAGACACCTTTGGAGTCCCAGTCAGGATGGCTTGAAAACCACACTAGGCACACGTGTGTGTGCTCCAAATCCCAGGATGGAGAAATGGCAGAGAGGAGACTGCAGTGCAACCACACCTCATAGGGAGGTACTTCCTCTCCCTTTCTTTCTCTGTCTCTCCCTGGTGAGTACATGTGCCCTCTAGCAAGTTTCTTTTAATTTTGTACAATCAACAGACATTCACAACCACTAAAACTCAAAAATCTTTCTTACTGAACCCAGTGAGTGGCTCAGGGTTTTGCCAAAGATGTTTCTAAAAAGCCATGAAAAATAAACTATTGACTAAACTGTTCATTCATACATGTCTGTGTATAAAAAAGAATTTCTGCTAAATAACTGTCTTATCAATTTTAACAATAATAATAATTATGATATTCAAAGATTATATTTACTCAATTATACTGTACACAAATTTTCAAAAAGACTTGTTATTTTATTATTTTTCAGAAAAGGTAAGCCCTGAGCCATTATGAATAAAGAGTGATTTAATCTGCACAGTTGTTAAGACATATCCTAAAAATAAAGTCATGCATAAGAAAAGAGCTTGAGGAACCAGCAGTTGGAGTAATGGCTAGGTCGTTGGACTCTCATGTAGTCAACTGTGGTTCGATTCCTGGACCTGGTGGCTTAAACTCACACCAGGCACATGTGTGTGCGTGCCCAAGACCCCAAGAGGAGAATGGAGGAGAAGGGATTGTGGCATGGCCATCCCCCGGGGGGTTGATTTCTCACTTTCTGTCTCTCTGTCTCTCTCTGTCTTTCTGGCGAGGGCACGCACCCTACAGCAAAAACCTCTCCAAAAAAAAAAAAAGAAAGAAAGAAAAAGAGTTAGATTGTGTATCCTGATTTTTTCTACATAAAATATTGTCCAAAAGCACAGATAAAAGTCAATTTTTTATAAGAAAGGTGGCAGCAAAAGTCAGTGAAGAGTATGATAAAATGATGATGAATTAGCCAGCTAGGAAAAATTAATTTAGACTCTTATCTCACACCACTCACCAAAGTAAGCTCCTAATATATCAAAGAGTTAATTATTTGGGAAAAATAAATGTTTAAGAAAAAAAATTTATTTGCTCTCTAAATGAAGAAGGATTCATTCTGTAAAAAATACAACCACAAATATAAATTGGAACATTAATATCCCACCCATTAATCATCCCAAGAATTTGGGCAAACAGGACCAGCAATTGGCGTAATGGCTATGTCACTGGACTCCCATGTAATCGACCGCTATTCAAGTCCCAGACTTTGTGGCTTAAACTCACACCAGGCGCATGTGTGTGCATGCCAAAGATCCCGAGAAGAGAATGGAGGAGAAGGAATTGTGGCATGGCCATCCTCCCTGGGGGATGATTTCTCGCTTTCTGTCTCTCTCTCTCTGTCTTTCTGGAGAGCGCATGCACCCTATAGCAAAAACCCTCTCAAAGAAAAAAAAAAAAAAAGAATTTGGGCAAAGGATTTACCACAGAAGAAACAAACAAACAAAAATAATAAAACATAAAAAATATTCAACTTCACTAATATTCAAAGAAATTCAAATTAAAACAAGGTATAATTTTTAGTCTCAAATGAATGAAATTTTTTCAACGGCAGCCATACATTTCACTGAAAATTAAGTGAGAAAAAAAAACCCTCATACATCACTGGTTTAGGGTGTGAACTGGCACATCCTTTCTAAAAACTCAATTAGCAACAGATAATTAGCCATAAAATGTTCACACCCTTTGATACAGTAATCCATTTCTAGGAATCTTCAGAAGATGGTCAAAATGAAAGCAAAAATTTATACCCAAAAACATTCATTACACCAATGTGGATAATGGCATCATCTTTGAGGTAAAGTAAATGAAATAAATTTATATAAATGATTTGAAATTGTTTAACTAAATCGATATGCCTGTAGAATGACTAACATGATGTCATTACAAACTGTCTTTAGAAGGAATATTTTAACTATATAGGCAGGCCTATGAATAAAGTTACATAACAAAATTTTAAATTATATCCATGTAGTGTGACATTCAAAAGTTTTATAATACACAAGTGCTCATAAAACATTTCTATTACCCTGCTTGTCTTACACTATCATGAGAAAATAGCTGGCTCTTCACTGAATTTGGGAGGTGTCTATGGGATAGTCTGACCTAAAATACAGATTGTATGGTATGAAAACAATTCACTCTGTGACTGCTAAAGAATTACGACATTCTCCAGAAGAGATTGAGGCATGATCTGTGATAGAACCATTGTAAATAGCTTCTTTGAAGGAAGTAACAGAAGTGATTTATTTCTTAGTCATTACTAATCCCCTGGCAATAGGGACTGACTAGCAAAATGTATGTGTATGAGTGCAGACAGAAGTCTACACACACTAAAAGGTAAGAAGGAAATATACTAAAATACTAGCCGTGGTTTCCTAAGCAATGATATTCTAGAACTGAACTAATATAGTAGCCACTAGAAACATGGGCTATTTATATTAAATACAATTTTTTCTTTTTTTTTAGAGAGAGGTTTTTGCTATAGGGTGCGTGTGCTCGCCAGACAAACAGAGAGAGACAGAAAGCGAGAAATCACCCTCCAGAGGGGATGGCCACACCACAATCCCTTCTCCTCTATTCTCCTCTCGGGATCTTAGGCACGCACGCACACGCGCCCGGCGTGAGTTTTAAGCCACCAGGTCTGGGACGCGAACCACAGTTGACTATGTGGGAGTCCAGCGACATAGCCATTACGCTAACTGCTGGTTCCCAAATACAATTTTTAATTCCTTCCTGGTCACGCTAGTCACGTTTCAAAGTCTAAACAGCCACAATAGCTAGTAGCCACCATATTAGACAGTGCAGATCTAAAGTATTTCCATTAACACATAAGATTCTACAGAAAAGTGCTGGTCTAGAAGATTATTTTCTTTATACTTTATCCAAACTTATTATAATGTACATTGCAGTAGATTCCTCTAATAAACAGAAAAAATAAACACTACTAGAAAAGAAAAAGAAACACTCACACTGGGCATGCAAAGGGCACATTCTCTAGAAAGCTCTAAGGAAATAATACCCTGGGGTGGGGAAACAGAGAGTCACAGGCACCCAGGGCAGAACAGGGAAAGCTAAAAAGAGACATGGGAATCATAAACATTTTGAAAAAAGAACGGACACAGAAATTCCAACAGCAGGGGTGGGGAAGGAAGCAATTAGAGCAAGAAGTCACAGGTTCTTGTCTCCCCCCACTCACCAGCCATTACAGCTGCTGACCGCTGAGCTGGCTCAAAAGGACATTTCCCTCGGCCACTCTCAAGTCTTTCAACCTGCTGGAAACTGGACACATCCTACAGACCAGAAGGGGGCAATTGGTTTAGGAGTCATGAGGAAGGTTCATGGTGAGAATTACAAAGATGGTCAGGTGACGGAAAAGGTCAATTCCCATTCATCTCCTGCTTCCCCCACTACCATCCCCATATTCCCAGTCAGCTTTTCCTGACCACCACCCCCCACCCATTCTTGCTTTTCCCATTTCTGCTACCCCCTTTTTTTTTTTCAGTGTATTTCACTTTCCTAAATTCCCCTAGTACCAAATACCTGCATTCCCCAATGAAGGAATATATCGCATGGCCCTAGAAGACACTTGAAAGGGTGACAGTAAGTCTTTTATCTGAAACGCAGCTGAGCATTTGCAATTGGTTGAAGAATGTGCCATAGAAGGAGAACCAGGAAAGAAAGCAGATATTGTGAGGCTGAAGCCCTTAATAAGGGTAAAGAAAAGTACAGAGAAGACCATCTGAAGCCCTGGGGTCTAGAGAGAGAAGGTCCACCCTCTCCTACTCAAACCCTGAGGAGGAAACACAGGGCCAGAGTCAGACTCCAAAGTGGAGAAGGGAATCTGAAAAGTCAGTGAAGAATGATCTGAGGCTCAGGTCTGAATTTGAGGGTTTGGTAGATGAGTGCCTTCCTCATTCCAGGACTCCAGAGAAGCTATTCTGGGCAGGAGGTGAGAGGTATGAGTTCCACCAGAGCTAGCCAAAAGTTACCTTTGTCCAGCATCCAGTGCTAAAAGAGCTTTAAAATAACAGCGTAACAATGAAAATAAAGGATGACTTTGACCTAGGGCTGAGAGGAACAGTAACTGGCTGCTTGGAATCAAAGTAACCTGGCCAGGCATAGTTATCTCTATTATTACTTTGATGGTAATTGCAGTAGCTACATAGATATATCGTTTATCCCCTAAGTATAAATATATTACTAGCCCATTTTAACTGCTCTTCTCTTCGGCAAACAAGGTTTTCACCTGTTGAGAGAATTTCAAAGAAGACCTGTTAAGATCAGATGTGGTCTGAGCCCCCCCCAAAAGGGAATACAGAGTCAAGAGAGTCTACTGGAATGGAAGACCCCACAGAGACATAAGAGCATTGCCAGTGTGGCAGCAGGAGAAAGGTGGCAGTTCAGAGAGATCACCAAAATTTGTGGGCACTCTAGAGATGAGGTTCATACCTGTGGTTGGTTCCCTTTTTACCTCTCACCCAAAGGAACTATGGTGGTCATCTCCTCCACTATCTAGCCCCACCCCAAATTAACCTTTCAAAATATCAGTAACTGACTTAATAAATTTTTGAACAAGAAAATAACAAAATAGCCCAAAATTGTCTGGAGAATAAACACTTTAGACCAAGCTACTTATGTTTTCCTTCTCAAAAAGATCTTTGTTTTATCCAAACAAGATCACCTGTCATTTCTGGAAACAGAAATTATGTGTTCTCAACTCTATGCCTAAAACTATTCCCTTACATTTCATCAAAGACTAAAACGATGAACCTTTTCTCAGTCTTCATTCTCTTTCATCTTTATGCATCACTTGATATTTCTGATTTACTCCCTTCCCTGACTATCTATTTTATTCTTTCACTGTCTTGAAACTCTACCTTTTTGGTGTCCCTTCTGTTATTTCTCTATAACCTTCTACTTTCCAGCCTTAGTCCTTTTCACATTTTCTTTTAAGGTCTCATTTGTTCTTACATTTCCAGTCACATTCTGAGCCTGATGTCTTCCGATTCTAGTCCATGTTTTTGTTTGACTGGTGCACTTACTCACAGAGATCGCCTATCAGCCCCTTAAAACTCAACATCTCAGAAGTCCTCTTCCAGTTTCCCCCAATGACATCATCATATCATCCAGGTTTCTAGCCTTTGAGAAAATGAGCTGCCAATTAACTAGACAGCTTATAGTTCCCATGTGATCAAATGACATTTAACTGGAGTCTGAAAGGGCAAAACCACTACACTACATTGTCTATCTGAATGTTGAGATTCTTCATTGTATTATCATTGTGTTAGTCAGCACAGTCTCTCAAAATCAGTTGTGGTGAAGGCAAGTCTTTCAAGCTCAAAGTGAGGGCTAGGTAGGAAGGATCTCACTGAACTGTGGGGGTGAAATCAGCCCTTTGGCCTACACCAAAAAAGGTACAAGGCATATACAAGGTCTCCCCAGGTAGTTAAAGGAATAAAGAAAGAAGAAAATGATAGTTCCTGTTACATGAAACATGTCAAATGCCACAAGAAACTGAAGCCAAATAAGGTCTTCTGGGCTATGGGCTAGAGCAGAGGGACAAGGAGTAGAGCAGAGCCAGAAAAAACTAAGTTTAAATTTTGGCTCTGCCTATGCTCGATATATATTCAGCCTTCTGTACTGTGGGATCCTTATCCACAGATTTAACCAACTGCAGATGCAGCCAGGCCACACCTAATGTTATGAAATGGGGGAAGAGGTGGCTCCCCAAGAAAGACGCTAAAGAATTTATCTATATATTTTCTCTCTTCTTAATTCTAACGGTAAGAAATCCAAAGATAATTTAAAACATAAGGGAGTATGTTAGGATTTGTGCAAACCTACTCCTTAAATAAAGAATTTACACATCCTTGAATTTTGCTATCCATAGAGCATCCTGGAACCAAAACCCCACAGATACTGAGAAATGTCTACATAATCTTAGACATGGTATTTAATTTCTCTGAACTTTAGTTTCCTTGCTTGTAAAATAGAAATAATGCCTAAATATGATGATGTGGTAGTAAAAATCAAACTTAATAATGAACATGAAATACCTAGTACCAAGCCTACAACAGAGTAGATATTAAATTGAATGGCTGTCTGTTATTTTTTGTAATTGTTAGAAGTCTAACATATCTATTAACTTCTGGAGTTCCTTCAACAAAACAAATTAAAAATATTTTCCTCAGTTGCCCAATGAGCTGAAGAACAGCACTCCAAATTGCATATCCAGCGCTTGTACTTCTTTTTTGTGAGAGCCTTCATTTCTCCACAGTCAACTCTGAGCAAGATGTTGTGTCCAGATCAAAGCTCACAGATAATAATTGCACATAATATCAAAGTCATCAGTCTAAGACTTGAGAGGCCTGGCACTAAGAATAAGGCATGAACTTGGTCAAGCAAACTGGGATTGCCAGGTAGCAGGAAATATAGCACAAGAGAACCTTAAAACATTCTATAGAGCAGTCTCAGATGTGACTTGAAGAATTAAAAGAAAGGACCTTCTGGGAGTATGCCCTATATTCTCTTACAAACAAGACTTGACCAAAAAATGGTACCTCATATCATGAGCCCACAAGATAGGAAGGTTCAGAGAAAGAGCTGAACTCTTGAAATAACAGGAAACAATAAAGGCTTTGCTCTTTGCTGCTGATAGTCCTCAAAAATGGACAGAGGTTCAAGTTCCATCAATTCTAACAAGTATGTCCCTAACATTTCCTACCCAGATTCTTTATTTCACAACCATTAGAGTCCACCTTAGAGAACCAAGGAAAAATAGAAGGCCCTGGGAGATTAATTTGGAACAATTGCATTGTCTATGAGCCTTGGCTCTTGTATTCAGAACAATAGGAACCCCAAGCCTGTGCACACTGAAAAACGACAAAATAGAGATGGCATTCTACCTGTGAACTTTGTGAGGAGTGACCCTCAACATCTGGGTCACTGATAAGAAAGTAGATCCTCGACATTAGTTGATGGGATGTAAAGTTCAACACCATCCTGAACTGGGAAACCTTTCCAGGGTAAGGGAACTATCCCAACTTTGGTAGGAAGCCTATTTCCTGCATTATGGAAATAACATAAGTACAACTAATCCCAAGCATAGCCCAGAAGGACTCATTGGAGCAATCAAGCATATATAAGTGTAGCATCCTAAGCTAGAAATATGAAGACAATCTATAACAAAGAGGGGTTTGGAGGTACACATTGATTAAATCCAGGTGGCAAGAATTACTGGAGGTTGCAGAATAGTTAAGTCAAGATCTACAATTAAAGATTAGGGACAAGAAAGGGAGTTGGTGCACCCCCTCTGTTGTTCTACAGAGCAGAAAGGGAAGGCACTGGAAATAAAGATGTGAGGCTTTCAACTCACCCTAGAACTTTCTCACAAATGTGTGTGACAACAGGATTAGCGCTGACTACTGTGTAACATGGGAAACACTGAGAGTTTAAAAACTGTCACTTCTTTTAGGGACTTGTGTGGCCATGATTAGCATAGATGTGATTAAGGGTATACATGTCCCAAGCCCGCTTTTTTTTGAGGGTAGTAATGCCTAGGCCTTTAGCAGCAATAAACAGGATCTAGAAGAAAACATGGTTGACAGAGTGCCCACCCTGAAGGCAAGGTCCAGAGCATGGAGCCAGCAAGTATTACATTAGTAAGCAGTGGCATCAGAAGCCGTGAGAGCAGAGTCAGTCACAGCCCACATGGCAGGAGATTGGCAGTGGAGGTAGGGGTAGGTGGTGAGAGACATGCTATGTGAGGAACATACAGGCATGGGCTGCACTGATTAAGAAATGGACTCAAACTGCCTAGACAAAGCAAACACAGGGTGAGGAAAACATAAGTTACTGGTTTCTGAAGTCTCTCCTGGATTTTTCCTCTCTCCAGCCCAAGCAGCATCCCTAACTTCCTTTACAACCCCAATATATCTCTTTCTTTTTCATATGCCTCACCCTCAACAGACAACCTCCCTCTCCTCCCTCTCCCTCCCCTTTCAACCCTCCCTCAGTAGCAGACAAAGGTTCCACCTTATGAGGACAACCCTACCCCCAATGCTTATCATGCACAGTGATTACCCCCATCTCGGTCACTCACAGAAAACCTTTCCCATCCACCCTCCCACCACCCCAAGTAACTCACACTGGTGCAGGCTCCCTCTCCCTTTCCTCCCACCCGTCACTCACAATAACCCCGCACTTCGGGTCAAAAGCGAAGGTGCCACAGGTGAGGAGGTAAGAGGCATTGGCAATGGCGAGAATCTGGACAAAATTGTGACATTCGTCCTGGGGGTCAGAGATGGTTAAAGAGAATCAGAAGCAGCATGTACAAGGAAGAATAAGTGTCAGGAGGTTAGATGCAGCTCTGGAACTGGAGTTAATGGGTGATGGCATGATGTTAGGGTCCTTGCCTGGGCCTATTGGGATAGGAGCACCACAGGGGACTGTCAGAGTCAGGGTTGGGCCATGGTCCCAAATGACACTCACAACAGGGCCCAGATTTACACCTACCTCTTTCTTGCCTTTCTTCCTACAGTTCTGTCTGTGAGCCTCCGGAACCATCCAGTCAATCTGAGAAAGGAAAAGTGACCATTTCCCCCAGATTTCCCCCAAACTCCCACAAAGTCAAGGAAAATGAGACAGTTCCACAACCTCCATCAATTTGGGAACTTCAGAGATCCCATTCATTTTCAAACTGGAGGTCCTCACCCATTGATGAATAATGGAATCAACTATGAAATCATGATCAACGTTATTTTTAATGAAATAGAATATATCGGAATATATCCCATACAGGAAAAATAGAAATATTTTTAAGAAATGTTTCTTTCAGTACACACTGTGTACCAGGTCACAACAGACAGTATAATTCTTACTAATGGGTAGTCAAAAAAATAGGATAACTGTTTCCCAGGAGCACTGTAATTCTAACACTCCCTTTCCCCACTCTCACCTGAAATCTGGCCACTGTGACCTACTCCCCATCATCATGAACCTCCCTCATAGCCTCTCCAGTCACCATGACCCCCCTACCACCTGCAGCTGAGACACTGAAGTGGACAATCTCCTGTTCATTTCTTCCAACTCCCCAACACCACCATCACTGCTGTTACATCATTATTAAATACCTCCCCCCAACAACCCATAACACCATGATCTGAGCACATGCTATGGAGTCTGGGGCTCTCCCCACTCTCATCTCTCACCCTGCGAGGTCTTTCCCCTGAGAAGGGCAGGGATAAAGCGAAGATGGCGTCCCGGGCGCCAACATAAAGTGTGTGGGAAGCAGGATCCACAAGGAGAACAGAGTAATTGTATGCCTGAGGAGCAGCAAACCGGGTGAGATAGGAGTCAGCCTCTGGCAGGAAGAGAGGGGGGAAAGGGGAGAATGATATCAGCCATGACTTCATAAGGGTTGGGTCTACAAGGTCAAAGCCAAAGGGGCCAATTTTTGTTTTCTTCCAAGTACCATTTATCTAGCAGCCACTGGAGAAAAAAAAACAGAGCCTTAGCAGGCCAACCATCTACACTTCCCAAGAGAGAGATAACTGATAAGGCCAGAATATTTAGCATACAATCTAGTCAGCTATGCTTTTTCTATAAAAAGAGAACACTTTATCAAAATAACTACATAAATACTAAGTTTATCATTTCTATTCATAGCAATGTGGTACATAATTTTAAAATATATATAGAAGATACAAGTGTGGTCTTGTAAAAAGTTCATGGAAAATAAACATGGAAAAACTATGCATGTATTTTCATTTTTTTGTACCATAATAATCTCATGCTTTCATTCCATTTTTCATTTCCATTTTTTTGAAGTCCCCTCTTGCTTTACTAAATTTCCTTTTTTGAAAAAAAAAATCATTACCTAATAGTAACTGCTTTTTACTTAGAAGGAAATGTTTCACTCTTTTCAGCAACACACTAGGAGACTATTTCTTCATCCTCCCATCACTGCCCTTGACCTAGCCTCCCCTTTCCCTTTCTCTGATTCTGCCCAAAGAGATAGAGAGTATAGTGGGAAAGAGGATATATTCTGGAAATGTAACAGGCTGAGTTTAAGTGTGGCTCTCCCACTTACCAACTTTATGATCTTGAATAAGTTATTTGCCTCCTCTGAGCATCACTTTCCTATCTGTAAACACCTATCCAGGTTGTTGAAATAATATATGGAAGCACCTGGTATCTGCTACATGTTTTACAAATGGCTTCTTTTCTTCCTTAAGCATGTGTTCCATTTTTACTAAAACTAAATCTTCTATCAACATTCAAAACTCTCACCTATTTAAAGATCAGAACAGGAATAAGTTGACATAAATCTACCTTCTTAACGCAACTTCTTACTATGGGGACCCTGCCCCTGCAGTGATACAGCTTTGCTCTCCCTGCTTCATGTGCTCAGGTACCCTCAACGTGGCAATATGGCCAACAGTCCATTCATTCCCAGATGTGCTAATGTGAGCCTCACCCACCCCATCCTCTCACCCCCATATTCATGTCCCTGCTCTAGTGGGCCTACTCTCTAATGCTTAGTATAAGCTCTGGATCACATATCCTCCCTTAAGGTCCAAACTCTGCTTCACCTTACCATCTAGACTTCCCTGAATCCCTGAACATCAACTCAACCTGGCAACCTTAACTTACTTTGTGGCTACTGTTCCAGCATGAACTGAAACCCCAGGCTCTGACCACAACTTTGCCTTCAGAATTCACAGCATCCTTGTATGTCCCTGGTCTGAATTTAGCCTGGTAACTATTACCCAGTTTTGAGTTTCTGCCAACGGATTATACTCATGGCTTCATCGGTACTCTTGGCTTCACTAGTTCTGCCTGCCCAAGGAGCTAATACTCAATGCTCATTGAGAAAACAAGGCCCACCACCATGCCCATGCCTAACTCAGTAGTCTCTAACATGTGACTCACTCTAAGGACAACTTTTAACCTAATAGCACTGCATTCCCTAGCTTCTTCAGGTCTCTTCAAAGGACGGCGTCTCCCTCCCCTTTTCTTCTGAAGGCTTTAGAAATTATTTAAGCAGAACTTTAAATCAGCTCACTATAGGATTTACCAACACTGAATGTACGGAATGGGCAGAAGGCACAGCAAATGATGAGGAACTTACTTAAGTTGGGGGTGGGGGGTTTAAGGTAGGAGGGAGCTAGTGTCAGGATTGTGAGGGGACTGGGAAGTGGGCAGGAAGAGCAGGACTGTGAGCAAGGCAAGAGGTTTGGATGGCAGAGAGAGCAGGGATTGATGGCGGACGAGAACCGATGAGAGGGAAATGAATTTTTTTGAAATGGAATGCTAAACTGGCGATAAGGGTGTGTGGCTGAAATAGAACAAAAGACCCATGGATTTGAGAGCAGAAAGTGAATCAAGTGGAGCCATGGACACAGGTGTATGTGTAGGGGAACAGGGGGACAGGGAGAGGGAACTTCGAAATGGTCCACTTCAGGCAACCCTCATCGCCTCCCTGGGCCTCAGTGTGTGGACAGCGAGGCTCTGAACTCTCCTGCGGTTCTGGAACTAAGGGACCGCTGGAGCAGTCTGGGCGTGCCGTGGCAGCCAAGGAGCGAGGCCGGGGCTGGAGATGTGAAGCAGCACAGCGTCGGGGTCTCCCCGCGGCCCCCGGAGGGATCTGAAGCAAGCTGAAGGGCCCTGGTCGATGCCATCCGATGCCACCCGGGTTAGGAAAGGTGAGTGTGAGCACCTGCGGGCGGGGCCTGGGCGCGGTGCAAAGGGCTGAGGGCGAGGGCGCCATACCGGAGATGCGAAGCGAGGTCCTGGGCACCGAGCGGGGTACGCGGCTGGACACCGGGCCGCTCAGCACCACGAGCAGCAGCAGCGGGAAGGGCGAGGCCAGAGGCGGCCCAGGACCCGGGCGGGGCGGCGTAGCACAGGCCGTCATCTCTCGTTCGGCCTGGCGTTTGAGGGGGGCGCGCCGTGCTGCCTCCGCTCAGAGCCAAGCCGCGGGGCTCGGCC